CCCTCCCCACTACAGGGGTAGGATACTGCAAAATCCCCAATTCCTCCCCACTCCAGGGGAAGGATACTATGAAATCCCCAATTCCTCCCCACTCCAGGGGAAGGATACTATGAAATCCCCAATTCCTCCCCACTCCAGGGGAGGAAATAAATATTCAAAAACATTATTGGTATCTATTTTTATTTTTGAAATTTACCGGTAGCTGCTGCATTTCCCACCCTAGGCTTATACTCGAGTCAATAACTTTTCCAGCTTTTGGGGGTAAAATTAGGTGCCTCGGCTTATATTCGGGTCGGCTTATACTCGAGTATATACGGTAACTAATTATGCAGCTTGAATTTGATATTATAATATATAAGTATGGGAGTATGGGGTCATAGAAGAATAACAAAACATGTACTTTATGTACATATACTTTATTTTTATAGTATAGTCTTTATTGTCATTGTACAAAATCAATACAACAAAATTTCTGATGCTTCTATTAAATCATAAGGAATCTCAGACATGTCTACTATGTTGGACCTTCTGTGTAAATCTTTAGAAATGTGATGATCAGAATAAACAATATTAACTTAGACAGATGTCCTGATGTTGAGAAAACAGCTTTGTATATTTTTTTAAAAAGAAATCATTTATGTGTATAAAAGTGATAATACTGTTATTGCAACAAGTTCACAACATATAAAAAGAAAAATGATCTTACAAATTTACAAGATATTACTGTGCAAATCCTTCTGATTATCTGATGCTACAAAAGAACACCTTGTATTACTTGTCTTAACTGTATTACGTTAGGACTAGTTAATTTATTTTTTTATTATAATTAAAACTGCTTATTTTTTCTCTCAACTGTAAGGTTCCATAGTTTTCAGAGAGAAGACAAGGTTATTTAAATAAGCATTTTAAATAACAACCACTACAGAAATTTAGAATTATTTTGATCATTTGCTATATATCACAAATGACAACAGTAGACAGCTTTGTTGTAACATTGAGTGAACGTGATAAATGTTGGTTTAACCTACTGCAGTATGTTGCAAATTTAGTTTAAATTAGAGCTCAGGTTAAAAACCAAAAGAAATTGATGTTCTGAGAGATATTAGATGCTTTTCGTAAATAATGAATTAACCTATTTAGACTCAAGCCCTTGTGTTAAAAAACATTTTTCATTTGAACCTTCTTCATTAATCTTTTTCCTTAACCTTTATCCATCCTAATAGTGCTTATGGTAATAAAGTGAATTTTAAATGTGTGTATATATGTTTAAATAATTTGGTATGAGACAAGATCCAAACTTTGTTTTTTATTTTGGTTTAGCATATGTTTTGCATTCATCTTAATCTTGTATAGGTTCCTATGAAGCTAGGCATTCTATTCAAGATGGATTGACTTCAGGGAATTATGGGCCCAAATCAATACCAACTCACTCATGTGTTGTTCAGGTAATTTGCATGAGACACAAAAATAATTGAAAATAAATTTTCTGCATAGCCTACATAAGTATTGAAAAATAAACTTTGATTTTTATAATCAATGTTACATGAACTAGTCTTGAATGAGACCAATAGATAGTTGCTAGTAGTATTTTTCAGCAAAGGACAATTGCAATCTAAAACTAGTAACACATACCTGAGAGCTAATATGAGCTCTGGCCTTTAGAATATATGTGAAATGGAAGCATTTTACAACTATACAGGATCAGCTATAATATAAAGTGAGATTGTATTCTACCTAATTTAAGTACAGGTAGTCCTTGACTTATGACTACAATTGAGTCCAAACTTTCTGTTGCTAAGTGAGACATTTGTTGAGTGAATGTTACCACATTTTACAACCTTTCTTGCCACATCTATTAAATGAATCACTGAAGTTGCTAAGTTGGTAACACGATTGTTAAGTGAATTCCTGACTTCCCCATTGACTTTGCTTGTCAGAAGATCACAAAAAGGGATCACATGACCCTGGGAAACAACAACTGTCCTAAGTAGGAGTCAGTTGCCAAATATCTGAATTTTGATCATGTGACCATGGGGTACTGCAACTGTCATAAATGTGAAAAACAGTCATAAGTCACTTTTTTCAGTGCCATTGTAACTGCCATTGTAACTGAAAAATGGTTATTAAATGAACAGTTGTAAATTGAGGATTGCTGGTATTAATTTATATTAGCTTTTATATTAGGATTAAGATTCACAGATCTTCCAGATCTTATTGGCAGTAAGTAAATTAGCAGCTTGAGTAAATAAAAATGTTCGCTACATTGAGAATTCATGCTGCCATTATTTGCATCTACACAAAAAATAGTGCATCTGTGTATAACTAAAAGAGGATTCTACAGAACAGAGGCAATTTTGTATATCGGAAAGAGATTTCTAAAGAACAGAGACATCGTGTGTGTCAGAAAGAAGTATGTTTCATCAAGAATTTTTTTGAAGAAATTGCACTGGATAATTAATGTATGCAAGTTGCCAAAAGTAAAAAGTTCATTTAATTCACCATGATCAAACTAAAATTTATAACCAGGAGTGTGTGTCACTCTGAACCATGGGTTACTATGATGTGGGTATTTATAGCAAGGAAAAGGCAACCTTTAAAATTCTGCAAGATAGCTGAGTGTTAACTAATCTGTATTGGCTTTGTGACTGATGTTGTTTACTTTTATAGTGAACTATTTTAATTGGAACTGCATTTAGTTGGGACTTCTAGAATCCATTGGAGTTGGGTGGTTGATAAACTCAAATAAATAAATAAATAAATTTAAAAAGGCCTTTTTGCATCAGTTCTCACTGCTGTCCTTTCTCATGTCCTCTCTTCATAATGGTCATGTACTGATAGAATTAGAGTTTAATGGGTATCTAAAAGCAACCTCTCCTTGTGAATTATTTATTCCTGGTGTGCTTGCTTAGGAAATGTTAGAAGCTAGAGTTGTTTTATGAGACTTGATCTTTCCCCATCCTAATATTGACAATGAGTCCAATCAATCAACTATTAATTCATTTGGAACTTGTCTTATTTTCCTTGTTTGGAAATGTGAGGATTGTTAGCAATTTATTTAAGAAGTTTTTTTTACCTCAGGTAGATTTTATCTCTTTAGTTTGTAAACCCTTCCACTGGAAAGATTATGCATTAAATATCCATGGCATTCATTTTTGACAATTTTTGATACATATGGCTTCTGGAAAATAATGTTTTGCAAATTCAACAGAAATATCAACGCAATTTATTTTTACAAGAATGGCATAGTAGGAACAGAGCATAGTTAATCCTTTGAAACAACGGCTCAGCTTTTTTGTTATCCTTCCAAATAAAACATTTTCCTTTTTTGAAGTCTCTTTCAATAGAAAGAGAACCACAGGACAACAGTAGTAATTACCCAGATGATCTTTGGAGGGTAACTGAGGAACAACGAGACTATTATATCAATCAGTTCAAGTCTTTACAACCGGATCTCAACTCTTTCATTTCAGGTAATGTCCTTTGTAAACACAGAAAGTAATACTAGACTGAGAATGTAGGCAACTAAATGAAAGTCATATAGACAAGTGCAAAATGTGTGTGTGCGTGTGTGTTGATAGGGGTAGGGATGGGTTATACACCAGGGGTGGATACCTTTACCAGTTGGTACCAGTGTGCTTCGCACATGCTCTCATAATTAGTTCCTATACAGAATACATTGGGCAGTGTGTTTTCCACAAGTTTCAATCATTCGCAGTATCTTTGGCATCATCCCAAGGGACATTAATAATCTTAAGATCTTCCTTAAGAGTTTGTTGACAGGTGGGGCTCATTTTCTGTTTCTTCCAGAAGGCATCCAACGTAGTGCAATTTCTTGGATGCCAGTCTTTACATATATATAAAAAAGATATGGCCAACAAGCCACATTCAACCTTCATTCTCAGTTCTCAATAGGTTCTAAATTTGATCTTTGTAGTACCTCTTCATTAGTAATGTGATATGAGACAGTATCCTGACAGTATATAGATTTTTGTTCTGTGAAATAATATGTTCTTTGCTACAGTCCTCCTTGTTTAAATAGATATTCGTGGCCATTTCACTGAGTTCTATAAAAAAATTATATATATGAAAACTCTTTCATTGAAATTTCAATTTTATCTGGTATTTCATAAAAATTATGCATTTTAAATTAAAATCTTCCTGCTTTAGACTTCATTACTGCTGTTCACCTGGAATTTAAGTATTTTGATAAAATGAATTTTAAGATCAGAAAAGTACCATATCATAAGACACCCTTTTTTGTCTCCCAAAAGTGGGTGGAAATGTCTGTGCGTCTTATGGAACGAATATTGCTGAAGCCCTGCCCACCCACCGACTCCCACCCGCCAGCCATTTTTGCCCTCTGCACGTCCCGTTTTTGGCCTCCACGCATCTTTCGCAGTGGCCGAAAATGGGGTTAGCAGAGGAAACTTTATGGAACAGCTTTCTTCTGAAATGATAATAGTACAGATACAGTGTCAACATTTCAAAAGGTGTTCAAAACAGCTATTTCATAGGGCCTTGAAAGTTATATCACTTCATACCAGATGATAAACTGATAGTTCAATATATATATTTGAAATTCTATTTATTCTAACTTCTATTCTTTATAGATTTTATTATTGGAATTGTTAATTAATTTATATTGCACTATTAATTCTATTGTTTTAAATACTTTTTCAGAGCTTAGGATGTGAAAGATAGATAGACAGACAGACAATATACATATACAGGTTCCATCTAAGGTTTCTGTATATGCTCAGAGACAGCAGCAAAGGATAGATAATCATACCTTGCTCACTACCAATTTTCAAGTAGCATTTAGCTATAATTTGGAAATTCAGAATATACTTTCAAATTCTGTTTTGCTTAAGATTCTGAAGTATATGAGATATTTAGAGTTAGTGCTTAGGTAAAAATAACATGCAACAGATATATACTGTCTTTCAGAAGCCTCAAAATCTTTTTCTGAAAAATAAAATACTGATAAATATTGCAATAAATATTGTAATTACTATTAAAGTTACATAACAAAAATAGTGTTCTAGGCTAATATAAACAAGCAGATAATAACTGTTAACTGATTCATTTTAAAAAAAAAGAAATATAAGAAGGATACCAGTAGAAATTTTGTTGCTGAATTATTTATTTTACTGCTTTCTGGCCATCATTTTAACAGGTTCTGTGGCTAAGAATTTCTTTACAAAATCTAAACTGCCGATCCCTGAGCTTTCACACATATGGTAAGTACTATTTTCTAACTCATAATATTATTTATATCTGTGGGTTTTTTTTCCCCTGTGTCTGTATGTTAACTAATGCAACAAAAAATGTCTTCAGCAATGGCTCACATTGCTGATCCAAGCAAAGTAGAGAGTAAATTAATATTTATTTTATGCTGTTATCTTTTCAGTGGCCTAACAAAATGTGAACAGTACTGTAATCTAAAAATGTTCTAGAGAGCATATTAAGGAGCCTAAAAGTATAAAAGTTTGAATCAAGTTCAGATAAATGTAATTCAGAAAAATTAATATTATAAGCATCACTTCTAGTTGTGCTTATGAATTCATATCCTGAGTTTTTTAAACAGTAATAGCTTCGTGTATATTAGAATGTTAAAAAATCACTGTAATTTAATTGTAATTTTATTGCAATTGTAATATATTTTTATTATGAAGTATAATTGTAATTTATATTTGTAATAAAATTATTTGAATTACTATTAGAAATCACATTAGTCTAAATGTTAATATCTGTATGAGCAAAGTGTAACAAACAGGTTTTCATTTTCAAAAATAGGGTTGAGCAGGTGAAATTCGAAAAATTAGAATATCATGCAAAAGTTCATTTATTTCCGTAATGCAACTTAAAAGGTAAAACTAATATATGAGATAAGACTCATTACATGCAAAGCAAGATAGTTCAAGCCGTGATTTATCATAATTGTGATGATTATGGCGTACAGTTCATGAAAACCCCAAATCCACAATCTCATATTATATGCAATCAATAAAACAAGGATTGTACATAGAACAATATTGGACCTCTGAAAAGTATAAGCATGCATATGTACTCAGTACTTGGTTTTGGCCCGTTTTGCAGCAATTACTGCCTCAATGCAGCGTGGCATGGAAGCTATCAGCCTGTGGCACTGCTGAGGTGTTATGGAAGACCAGGATGCTTCAATAGCGGCCTTCAACTCTTCTGCATTGTTTGGTCTCCTGTCTCTCATCTTTCTCTTGGCAATGCCCCATAGATTCTCTATGGGGCTCAGGTCAGGCGAGTTTGCTGGCCAATCAAGCACAGTAATCCCACGGTCATTGAACCAGATTTTGGTGCTTTTGGCAGTGTGGGCAGGTGCCAGGTCCTGCTGGAAAATGAAGTCAGCATCCCCATAAAGCTCGTCTGCAGAAGGAAGCATAAAATGCTCCAAAATCTCCTGGTAGATGGCTGCGTTCATTAAGTCCAGGGTCAACCCAGCTCACACTGCCAAAAGCACCAAAACTTGGTTCAATGACCATGGGATTATTGTGCTTGATTGGCCAGCAAACTTGCCTGACCTGAACTTCATAGAAAATCTATGGGGCATTGCTAAGAGAAAGATGAGAGACATGAGGCCGAGCAATGCAGAAGAGCTAAAGGCCGCTATTGAAGCATTGTGGTCTTCCGTAACATCTCAGCAGTGCCACAGGCTGATAGCTTCCATGCCATGCTGCATTGAGACACTAATTGCTGCAAAACGGGCCCAAACCAAGTACTGAGTACATATGCATGCTTATATTTTTCAGAGGTCCAATATTGTTCTATGTACAATCCTTGTTTTATTGATTGCATGTAATATTCTAATTTTCTGAGATTGTGGATTTGGGGTTTTCATGAACTGTACGCCATAATCATCACAATTATGATAAATCACAGCTTGAACTATCTTGCTTTGCATGTAATGAGTCTTATCTCATATATTAGTTTTACCTTTTAAGTTGCATTACGGAAATAAATGAACTTTTGCACGATATTCTAATTTTTCGAGTTTCACCTGTATAATAGTTATCTGATTTGTAGGGAACTTAGTGATGTTGACTGTGATGGAGCATTGACATTAGCAGAGTTCTGTGTTGCCTTTCACCTTGTTGTTGCTCGGAAGAATGGCTATCTTTTGCCAGACAGCTTGCCAGAGACGCTCTTGCCTGACTATCTTCATGCAGGTAAAGTTTCAGTGTTTATGTATACATTTTCAGTTAATTAAAATTGTGTTTTAACCACAGTCTGTTATTATGCACTAATTATAGGGGAAATGCTCTAAAACTGTTGGTAATCAATGTTTGGTCTCTTAATACCAGCAGTGATAAGACTTGCTTAGCAGCAAATCTATATGCAGCCAAAAAAACTTGGCTAATATATGTTCATGAACTGTGTACTGAAATCCTTAAAATTATTGACTCATGACCTAGAAGCTGGAAGGCCTTTTTGACCTACAGTGTTTATCTTGGTCCTTCCAATATGATTATTTTATATTGTGGTGACATTATTTTTAATCTTATATCCATAACCCTGCAATGCACCTTATAGTATATTACATCTCAATAGAATAACAATTTGAAACCATTACTGGATTTCTCTTTTTAAAATCACAATTATTGCAAAAATAAAATAAAATCCAAAGTGTGTCTTGGCATGATAGCAATTAATGTAGTTTTTATGGGTCTAATGAGGTTACTGCTGTTCTATAAATCTTACTTTCCAAATGAAAAATAAGTATAGTGACCTTTAGATACTAAAATACTAGTATGGAAAATATTTTATATGGGTTCTTTTCTTAGTGGGTATTGTTCTTATATTTAAAGAGACTACTATCCCAAACAAAATTGGGAGCTTTATGACAAACCATCCAGTCAGGGTTTCTAAGTTTGTATAGAAAGATTTAATACCCTGTTTCCCCAAAAACAAGACCTCCACAGATAATAAGCAGACTTTTAAGTGCATGTAGTAAAATAAGCCCTCCCTGAAAATATTTAAACACATGCGCAGCTGGTGTCTACCATTTCCTGTGGTTGCTTGCTGCGCAAACAACATGAGGTGAGGAGACAAGGCCGGGGGGGGGGGAACATGCCCCACTTACCCCACATGCTCTTACCTAATGGCTCCTCCCAAAACCCTAGCCACTGTGCCCCTTCTGTCATGGCCGCCGCAAAAAGAGCAGCAGGGCCAGCGATGTGCCTCGCTGCCACAGCAGCACAACATAGCAACAGCCATGAGGTGACCACACTAGCCGCTTCCTGCACCTCAAAAATAATAAGACCTCCCTGAAAATAAGGCCAAGCGCTTATTTCGGGGGTCAAAAGAAAATAAGACCATGTCTTATTTTCAGGGAAACTTGGTACCATTTATATCAGTTTTGTGTGCCTGGAAATGAAATAGTCTTAAAAATATATTGCCTATTTTTTAAGAGGTACTTTTTAATTACAACATACTGGGAATAATGAGAAACTTCCCATATTTTCATCCCAAAGAATGAATGAGCAGTGGACTGAACAGCATTAACTTATCTATCCATATCTTTTTATTACTTTTTCCCTAGTTGTTTCATTTTAATTTATCAGTCCCCTACAGCCCTAGGATTTCCTTGTAGTTTCCCCTCCAAGCATTAACTAAGTTCAGCATCAGCTTAGCTTTTTTGATATGTCAAGATCAACTAAATGCTGCATCTTACCATAACTTGTTCATTCAATTTTTCAAAAATATATTGTTAATATATATGACAACCTTATTCAAATGTTAATCACAAAATAAAAGAACATTATGAAGTGAAAGAGTGGCTAATTGTTATCATTAGGTTACAGAATATACTAAAGTAGAAATTAATGAGAAAATAAGTCTAGAAAATGATAATTATGAGGCGCTTAACCATCTTTTTTTTTATAGCTTCCCTTAAACCTAAAGGTGAATACATACTGAATTCTTATTCAGAGTCATTGTCAGTAAATCAATCAACACACCTTAGTAGGACTGAGGTATGAACAACTCATCTTGTTTTAAAATCTTTAAATTATAACAATGGTGTATAAACAGTCTTCATGTCTTAATTTCCTTTAGCACTTTCTTTTCCTCTCTGTGTGCTTTTCAGTGCATTTATCTAAGTTGGTTGGTGACCAATTATAAAGCAATAGTACTCAACTTTTTTCGTTTACCACTAAGGTAATTGTTGCAGAGGTAGTGAAGGATTGGTTGGAGGACAGCAATTCAAACCCTTCCAAAAATCAGTGTAAGTTATGTAAGCACTAAAATCAATGCACCTCTTAAAAGGAAGAGCACAAAGTAGAGAAAGAAGACTAGATTCAGTTACATGAGGTTTAAGGCTGAGAAGGTGAACACTGTAATCATAGTGCAGCTGCTAGATGCCACAACTAAAATCAAAGTGTAATTTGCTGTACTTGAGTCGAGCATAGTCAGCCAAAAGAAAACCTTGTGGAGGTTGCCAAAGTGGGAGAAATTATGGGAGAATTTTGTTTTAAGAAATACTGAATCTTTGTTAAGAGAATGAAACCTTATATCAAGATAGGGAGTCAGCTCTGCATTCCTAAGGATCATTTTTGTCAGCTCCTATCTGATTTTTCCTTATTTAGCTAAAAACATTAAGTTTAAATTTTAAAGACTTTGCACACTTCGAGTTATTGATTCATTTTTACAAATAGTCAAAGTATTATTTAATTCCTGAATTTTTAGAAGTAGAAACAAACCTTCCTGTACTTTTCTCACCATAGATGAATATTCATTCTCCCCATAACTTTCTCTTATATCTTTTTTAATATAATCAGCTTGTAACTCTATGCGAAGATCCAAATAACTCAGAGCCACTGATTCTGTTGAGGCAACTTCTGTTCAACCAGTTAGTGACCTTTTAAAAAAAAAATTTGATCTAGTCAGTATGTAACAATTAACTTGCATGCCTTTTGTGTCATTAATAATATTATAGCTAAACCATTCTCACTTAAATCACTTCAAAAATACAACATAAATTTATTAAGCATGCAAGCTACTAAAGTGTACACTGGGTTCCCAGCAAAGCATTGACAGCTTGCTGAGCAGACCTGAGAAAAGCAGAACTACAGTGCATGTACCCTTGACCTACTACATTGGACAGGCAAGACAAAGAAAAAGGCAGACACAGTATAAATTACTGCATGATGTTGAAATATTTTAGATAACCCATCTGGATTTCCTTCTCATTGTTTATTCTATTAGCTCAGCATGTTAGCTAAACTTATCTTTCAGATATGGTTATTGATGAAAATAAACAATTTGGTTTAATGGGGTCATTGATTCCTGATCAGTTCTTCTCCTCTGCCCACTGCCCTTCCCACACCCTCTTATTAATGGGACTTATTATATTTATTTAAAACATTTATGTAGCTGCCTATCTTTCAACCAACTCTGGATGACTCCCAATAAAAGAACAAAAGACACATAAAATCACTTTAAAACTATAAAAACTTTAAAAACAACAAAGTTGGTGCCAAATCAAAGTTCTAAAGTGTGATTATCTAGACTTCTCCCAGTGCTTGGAGGAAAAGCCAAGTCTTCAAAGTCTTACAGATGACTAAAAGGTTTAAAGCTTGCTGTGAATGTTTTCTTGCAAGGACACTTTAAGCAGTTCATGTGGGTGGGCAAGCATCTTACTGTATACAGTTGAAAGTGAATGCAAGTGTCACGGCTCCTTCACCTAATAACCAAGAAAAAAACCACTCGATTCCATTTTGCAAAATTAAGTGTACTTTTACTGATTATAAGTGATGAGGAACTAAGCAAAGCTGGATCTGAGCAAAAGAGCGCAAAAGCAATAGATATCAATACATGATTCATTCCCCTCCCCTTGATACTCCAGTCCATAGTCCAATCGTATGTCACCACAACCGTCAGGTGGGAGACATCTTCAAAAATCATCATCAGGTTGGAATTCTGGACAGTTCGCCTTGGTGGGAAACTCGCCTCCTTCCACATGCGCAAACGAATGGTGAGAACATCTCCCAATTAACAGTCCTGTACAGATTATTTCCCTCACCCAAATACCATGCCCTCCCTCCCCGTTTCAATGGCAGCCGAAAAGCAAGCAGCAAAACAGAGGCTGACAGCAAGTCACATATGTATGGGGGTACTTCTTATTGCCACAATAAAAGTATACTTCTCTATTATAGTCAAACAAAAAGAATTAACTGGGATAGTAATCCCACTATGAGGCTTGATGAACTTTAACTATATAAAATGTTATGGTTTGGCGTTTTGCAGGTATTGTGAACAGTGCTCATAAAATATTCAGGTTGTACTCATGTGTTTATCAAATGTTAATTTGCCATTATAATGCAGCACCATTCACAAATTGCAGTCTGTGATAAAAATAATGTTAACAGAATGATGCTAGACTGCAATTCTGAGCAAACCTATTAGACATCTGTAGGATACTTCTGGAAAAACTTGCATAAGATTATACAGCATGTATTTCCATTACAAAATTATTAAAATAATTAAGGAATTTTAATTTATCCCTAAAGATAGTTTCTTCCACATCTCTCCCCAGATTATTGGCTTCTTTCAGCTTGTACATTTTTGAGTGACCTGACTGTCAATTTAAATTTGTGTCTTCCTTCTTTTACTTTTTTTAAAATCTTCACAAATGGATACCCTTTCTGCCATAAACAGCTTCCAATTGATGAGAAACCTGTTAAAGCTGCCCTGATTCAGGATACAGTTACTGATGATCAAGGTACAATTCTAAATTGTAGTCTCAATCAGTTTTAAAGTGGTAAATATGTTTTATACAAATTCCGTTGGATAGAAAACACCCATACTAGTGTTTCTTCATAGTTAAGGATTAATGCTGTTCTGAAGGAGAGCTAAACCTGTATCCAAACCAGCCTGGCTGACAGATCACAGGGAAGAGGATAGTGTTCAGAAGACATGTGAGAAATTGTGAGGAGTCTGAAAAAGAAATGGAAGGAGCTTTATGTCAACAGGTGACATTGTTCATTAGGGGCTGATTGAGCCCCATTTTTATCCTTTATTTTGCTTAAATGCCCCAGAGGTTTAATGGAGGCTCATATAAGTGGACTACTCTTCTCTTTTTAGCTTCTTTTGTATCACCTGGACCCTTCCAGGGGGCTGCCCTTGAAAAGTATTCAGAAGCTTCAATGTATTCAAATACAGCAGTGATACTTGTTTTGTGCATGCCTAGATATGCATATGTGTCATCTCTCCTTCAGGAGCTGCATTGGCTGGCTGGCTGCTTCCGGATCCAATTCAGTGTGCTGGTTGCAGATATTTCATTAGTCAACTAAGATAATGCTTGAAGGGAGTGGAGTTTTGAGGACAAGTGATTTGCCAAGTGTCAATGTTGGTGGTTCCTTAATTAGGTTGTTGTTTAGTGTTTGATTGTTTGTCTGAGGTAGTTCCTTAATTTGGATTGTTTATTGCTTGATTTAATATTAATATTTATGTTAATCTCTGCTTATCAGGATGTTGATTGCTGACAAGGAGATGTTGTAGTCTTTTCACTTCTTAATTTTCTCTTTTGAATGGAATGTAGATGTTTATCCCTGTGTGCCTGTTGATGGCTGATTTGTTTGAGTGTCAGTCTTCCAGGAATTGTCTAGCATTTTTGGACTTAGCTTGATCTACAACACTTACAGTTTCCCAATTCAAACTATAGTAAAGTCTGTCCATGTGTTGACAAATTAAAGAATTTTCAACATGATGTCTGATTATTAGTTGGATTTCATTTCCTGTATCTTCTTCCAATCACCTGCAAATGAATGGGGAGAGAGAGAAAATCAGTGCAACTCTAGAAAAAATATTTGTGCTCATATCTTTCATATCAAAAGCAGTATTATTGTGTTTCCCTGAAAATACAATCTACCCCGAAAACAAGTCATAGCCCAATCTTCATGCCTGCACCAAATATAAGCACTACCCCCAAAATAAGCCCTCGTTAAGCCCTGCCCACCATCTGATTGTACAAGGTGGGACAAGGCACAGGTGTAAAAATCAAGCTAGGGCAGCAGTGGGGGAGTTGGAGGTGCCTCATGTGCCCTGCACCTGCTTACCTTTGGCTCGCTGCAGCCAGGCCACCCATGCCTCAACACCTTTTGCACCACTGCCTGACTTCTGCAGCCACTTGTGGCACCTTGCAGCAAAACTTGTCGCTCTTGTGAGGTAGCTCTCAGAACGACGCCACAAGGCTTGCCGTGCCAGTGGAGGTGCTCGCACACCACAGTACAATGCAATATCTTGCTGCAAGCAGCTAAACTGGCACAACGAGCCTCACAATGTCCTTCCTAGAGTGGCTCCACCAGTGTAACAAGCCTCACGTTGTTTTGCCATGAGCAGCTCTACCAGCGCAACAAGACCTGGTAGGGTCAGGTCTTGCAACAGGGCCAGCAGGCAGGGAGGGTAGAGGCCAGGGTGTGCCAAGAGCTTGGTATGTTGCGGCCACAGGAAAGTAGATGATGGGATAGAGGGTGGAGCTGGTGGTGGCAATGCTCCCACTCCCATCGGCACCCATACTTGCCGCCGCCTCCACATAAAAAAAGACCTCCCTGAAAATAAGCCCGAGTGCTTATTTTGGGGCCTAAAAGAAAAAAAGGCCGAGTCTTATTTTCAGGGAAACACGGTAGCTAGCCTTTAGAAAATAACTTGCCAGTAGTTATCATCTCTGTGACAAGTAGCGCATTTAGGCAGCTACGATTGTCACTGTTGGTTTTCAAAGAAACCCTCATTCTCTGTTCTGTGAATTTATTATTTTTAGCAGGAGTGATAAACAACCCAACTCCTTCTCAAGGAACACTTTGATTTTAGTTCCAGTGAAAATCCATCAGGTTTTTCATTGCTCTGTGCCCTCTATGTCCTTTTCATCCTGTGCACCTTTTTTTTCCTCCTGTTTAATCTGAGAATGCAGTATTTGAGATGATGTAATACCTTTTGATTTTTCAATATTGAAGAGGAAAATTAAAATACTTACTTTATTGGAAAAAACTACCCTGATGCCACACAAACCTTCTTATGGCAGAAGCAGACCAAAAAACTATAATGCACTTAATAGTACAGTAAGTGTACCCATCCTTTGAGGTAGCAAGAAGCAGGGGCAGCAGGGACTGCAGGAATACTCTTTATTGTAATAACGTAGAATAACTGAACTTCAAAAACCTATTCAGGTTTCAGTCCTATCTTCTATGAAACAACATTAAGATGGGATTATTTTGAATTTCGTTCTTACATTTCTGTGTATCTCAGAACCACATATCCTTTTCTTCAATTTATAGAATCAGCCAATTTATAGAATCAGCCTTTTTCTTCTCAGTTTAAGTGGACTTTCAGTGCAACACATGGCTAGTGCATGCAAATGGCATTAAACCTCAGTTGATATGGAACCTGCATAAGATTTGATATAGGAGCCGAGGTGGTGCAGTGGTTAGGGTGCAGTACTGCAGGCCACTTCAGCTGACTGTTATCTGCAGTTCAGCGGTTCAAATCTCACCGGCTC